GCTGCATCAGCAGCATGTGATAGCTGAGGCTGGGGTACTGTGGCTGGTCAGTTAGGAACATCTCATGGCTGCAGTTCAATACTGAATACAATTTTGAAATCAAATATTTGAGTGTCTTATAACTTCCTTCTTGTTTGATGCTCTCTGCCCAAAGGACAGAGGTCATGTGTGAACTCTGGTCTCAGAAACTCTGACTTATTCCTCTGTCTTGGATTGCCTGACTGTTAAAACAGGAAGTGCTGCCTTAATAATCCAGTGGAAGAACAACAGTGGAGGACAGACAAAATAGGAAGAAAGACTGCAGTAGAAAGTACTGGGGTATATTGAACCCCAGTGGGAGTTGTTATTGAGTAGGAGTTGTGCGGCTGCACAGAGTTTCAGAAACACAGATACGTCACTTATAATCACCAATTCAGAAAAAACATGAGAAGGAGAGATTAACAGGTTTTTTTTTCAGATATGGACAGAGAAGTGTTTAATAAAGAACTCACTTCCATTTAGGCTGGTAAAGAAACCATGGTAATCCATGGAAAGCAGACCAATGGATTAAAAAAAAAATCAGGCTAATGAATCTCTGAAGTTTCTCTAAGAGATTGAAGAAAATTATTAGCCAGATCATTACTGAAAAATAAGGCTCTATTGTAGCAAAATCAAGGATGCAGAATTTTAAAGCCAATTACAATTCCTAAGACCTTTAAATATTATTCTAATGTAAAAATAACTGTATGATGATGCACTCAATGACTATCCAAGTTCAGAGGTTTGAAAAACAAACTGCTTATGTCTCTTGTGGCCAATAGCCTGGCAAACATATGGAATACAAATGGAGCATGATTGGGGTTTTTATCTATGGTTTACATACAAACTCAATTGGAAGCAGCAAGCAAAGCCAAGAGTAAAAAAACTGACCAAAGGAGGAGCATGTTCAGTTCTGCAGCATGGTTGGTTTAAAAGGAAAGCTGATACCAGCTGAGAGGCTAACCTGAGCTTTTCCAAACTGATAAGGAATGTAGAAAGACTGTTAAATTTATTAGTTTTTCAAGAGCAGAGGGTCTTCAAAATTTGGTGGGTTTTTTTTAAATGAAGAAGTGTCTCAAATACCAGTGAATTTCTTCCAAATGTGAATTTAAAAATGTTTTTCCTGTAATACATAATTCTTTTATGTGACCAGTGAAATCTGCCATGACCTAGAAATTTATTTTTTTCTATCAGCTGCACTTTAAATACATTCTTCTTTCTGAGTCATGCTAATGAAAATGTTGTCCTGAGTACAAAACAGAGCAGTGTACTCAAAATCGTTATTCACCCTACTTGACAACAGAAGCACTCAGCTTCTTTGAGCTGGAATGCATTAAAGGGGAGAAAAAGACCTTCAATGAATTATGCTTTTTTCAGCTGTAACACTGAAAACTCTGCTGTCCTATGTTTGGTGCATAAAGCTGCTTTGCTTCGTGTCTTTTTCAGACTAATTTTCAGTGCTAATGTGTGAATAAGTTAAAGAAGCATTGACTCTTTTGGCCATAACAGTTAAGACAGTATTTGCAGTACTTCCAACTTTGTTTGCATTAGGAGTCAGGATCTCTCTGTGAAGAATACACACACAGAGGCCTATGTTCTGCAGCACTGAAACATTTTCTTGTTTTTACTCCCTTTCTCATGAGTTATTGCAGTTAAATCAAGTTTTCTGACTCAGCTTCCCGCAAGAAATCCTTGTTGCTTCTCTCTCACTTTTTATTAGGCACCAATGTTCAGCTGCTGCCAGACAAATTCTACCCCCTGTATTTGTATTCAGTCCCAGAGAAATCCCTCAGTCTACAGAAATGGTGACAGTCCAGCAATTGGCCAAACTGATCCAACATCGTGCCAAGGCAGTGTTTCCCTGTCTCTCTCCCTCAGCTCCCAGGATTTCAACTGCCTGATTCCATCTTTCCTGTTTTACTGCTCAGATAAGCACCAGAGGGAATGCAAATAGGAGAAAAGTGAATCATAATGCCTTGCTGGGTTAAGGCTAAGCTCAGGCTCACTCTGAGAGCAGGAACATGGGGCATTAGTTAGGGCAGTGCAGGAGCCTGGCCATGCTCTGTACTCTGAACAGGCCCCTGGTGCCAGGGACTGGCCATGGGCTGTACTTCATTCCCTTGGGGAATGGCTTCCCCTTTAATCTGTGAGCAGAGGATTGGTTAGTCAATTCTTCTGGTTTACTTAGCAAAATGAAGATATTCACCCATGGACTTTAACCAGGGCTGTGACTGAGCTTTGATTCAAATGCAAGCTTGTCAGAGGCATTGTCACCAAATCTAAAGACTGATAAGAGTTTCACATAAAATAAATTTTATTATTGCTTTCTTCATCCTACTTTTATCTGATCTTGGAGGTAATTCAAATGAACAAAGATATATGCAATTGCAATTACTACTCCCACTTAGCTATATATGTAGGCAGTCTTATTTCATAATTAGTCTGTTACTTCTGTTTATCATAAAGTTAATATTAAGCTGAAGTAGAACAAGGTGCAGTTATTCCAGAACAAAAATCTATATATGTGGAGTTAGTAAAGAACAGTTATTTTGGAATTTGCAACAGCTGTTTAGAAAGCTCTCACAGTTTAAAAAAAGACCTGCACTTCCCAAAGTATACATTTCATGATTCAGAGTAATGTATTTTACCAACTGCATTTTGGGTTTTTTTCAATAGCGATTAAAATAGAGATTCTTTTTTTTTTTTTTTTGTGCAGAGACTGATAAACTGTAAAAGGTTGCAGCACCAGTTGCTCAAGCAGAAAGAAGTGTTAAAAATGAGAAAGCTGCTTTAAAAAGATATATTTAAAAAATATCTATTAGCATAAGTTAGAAATGTGCTCAAAGGGTTAGGGTAGTGGCTAGGGTTAGGTTTAGGGTTGAGAGAGTCAAAGAGCCTATAGCTCCAGGAATACTAGGGCTGGAAAAGGCATGGCAAGGTGATCCTGGCAGGGCCTCAACTCTGCTGCACCTACACCTGCCAGCAGCACACTACATCTGATTTTATGTAGTGCCTATTATGAATATTACTTTTTTTTTCCCTTATTTTTTTTTTCTCTTTGTTACCCCTAAATCCATCTTCAGTTCAGGTTTTCTTTGGCTGATCACTGGTGAGATGTTCACAGCCATCAGGCCAGCCCTGCCAAGCCTGTGCCTTGCCTGTTGCCTTTATATTCCTGTATTCCTCAGCAAATCTCGTGCCCCCATTTCTTGAGGCTTTTGCTATTGCTCCATGCCTGCATTTCTCTGCACTGCATCGCTGTGCTAGTCATAAGTCTCTTTTTCTACACAGAATAACTGTTTGTTACTTTTGTTTATATAAAATGATTGTTGTACCACACACAGATAAACAGAAGTAAAACAAACTAGCCACCTGGTTAATTATGGAAACTGCTGTCACAGCTAACCAAGGAAAAGATGCAGAAGGGTCGAGAGAAGTTCAAAGCAAGCAAACCTGACAAATCTCAGTCCTAAGGCCTTGCACATTCAGTACAAAGCTTATGGCAAATTACTGAGAGTGGCAATATCATATTCCAGGGTTGCATGTTTCAGCTCCAAAGGTCATGAGCAGGTAGGAGCAAGCTGCACACACTATGACATAATCCATCATGTTTAGGCATTTTTTTAGAACTGGTTATGCTGGCATTCTTTTCTCTTTTGGGGTAGAAAAAAGCATGCAAGAATTAGAGTCTCTGTTACCTAAACTTTTAAAAGTAGAAGTTAGCTCAAATATTGCATATTTTTTACAGATAAAATTGCATGGTACAGTGAAGGGTAGACAACAAGGGTAATGGCAAGGATAGGCAAGGACTGAAATTGTCTCTTTCATTCTCAAAATGGACAGTTTTTCTTATCTCCTTTTTCTTTTTGATAGATCACATGTGATATACTGATGTATGTCTCCATAAATCCTCTAACTTGGTTTAGGTTTTGCAACAATTGCAATGGCCGTGTTGTTTCCAGTTTGCTTTTTTTTTTAAATTTTCTATTTTATCATGTCATTCTTAATTATATGTATAAAGAAATTCTAATTTCACAATCACCTATAAAAATAGTGAATCTTTTGGGGCTTGGACTGCTATCATTTACTGGTTTTGTACAGTTGACATACAGATTATTTATTTCTCATTTAGAAAAAGATCCGTTCCTGAATTCTCTAGTTGGTGTTTTGACGTTACTGTTACCTTCTTTTCCAGTCACATACAATCTGTCGTGTTCCTGACTTGACTTGACATCTCTTTAATATCAGTGGGCACAGCCCTCTAATTCATCACTTCCTTCATAGCTGCAATGCTGAACCATGGACTAGACAGGACATCTTGATAGACAGAAGGGAGGTCTCTAATCCTATAATATATCCTTAGTGATTAACTCAAAATAAATTAGAGGTAGAAAAATCTACCTTTTAATGTGTCTTTTTAATGCAGGATCATTCCCAATATTGTAGCACTGAATGCTTTTGTCAAGGCTTAGCCTAAGGATCTCAAGACTACGATGGAGACATAACGCAGTCCCCCAGTACAGTCTCCATTCTTTCCGGTGATTCCATTTTAACAATAGAGCTCTACTGTTACTTCAGTCTGAATTTCAAAACTTGGCTGATCTGATACTTTGCCACTCCTACCCTGAGACCCATTGCATGCACAGAGCTTTTGCAGCTCATCTTAGCTCTGACCAGAGACAGAAAACAAAACCCCAACAACAACAAAACCCCTCATGATTTCCCTTGGATACTTAATATTTTATGGTAATGGTTTGACTTGGTTCTTGTTCAAACAGGTACAAGATCTTGAGTGAGAGGAAATGCATATCACAGTGGTGTGTCTCATTCCAGTACGCCCCTCAGGGATGGAGATGCTTTGGTCAGCAGCAGAACCTGTAAAATGGAAGAAGACAGAGGGATGCCTCTACAGTATGGGTTCTGTGGGGTTATTGTACAACACCAGGTGGAAGCCAAATGAGCAGCTAATGATCACACAACACTTTGAAGGTGTAGAATGTAATTTATTGCCCAAAGTAGCTCTTTGGAATGGGAAATGGTCTTAAGATTCTGTGCATTCATTGACCTTTCTGAGAACCATTTTACAAACTAAAAGGATAATGACGGGAAGGCTGTTTACAGAGTGAGGTATTTTCTGCTGCAGAGCCGCTCAGCAGCACCAGAAGGGTCACCCTCTTCATTCTGTTCTGGAATAAAAACGTACTTTGTGAAGGAATTCACCTTTAAAGGGCTGTCTGCCTAAGTGCTCTTCTGGAATAGCTCTTGTGGAATAATGTGGTTTTCAAAAGCTGTGCCAGCCGCTTCCTCTGTACAGACAAAGCCTTGGGCTTCTAGGATTGGACATTTTGGTACTTATAGAAATTGCTCGATGTTTCAAATGGAGACCCTGCGAGCACTCCCGTGGTGTGCTGATGATGATGGCACTGGGCCCTGGGTTTCGTTGCTTGGTTTCCTAACTTGGCTAAGAAGTGGCTTGGAAAAGGTGCCCTTAACCTCCCACAGGCAGAGGGTGGGGAAGTTTTCACAAGCCCCTTGGAACAGGCTGAGATGCTGCTCCAATCCCTTCTGCCATTCCAAGCCCACACAAGGGGCAGCCAGGAACTCCTGCTGCTCGCAGGAGATGCGATGTCTCCTTGACATGCAGTCCCGTACCAACTGTACCACCAGAGGCGAGCTAAAACGGGCGATTGCTTTCCAAATACTGCCTCCAAGAAGCCTGCAGATGTCTCACACAAGTGCTCATATCCTAAAAAGCACCTTTTCCATCCTTTTAAAATGGCAGATTAAGTCATGTGTATGACTCAGGCTCATTTTCTTGTCCTGTGACTCCAGTCAAGTCACTTCTCTTCCAGCTCCCTGACAGATTTTGGCCATCCAATCCAAAACCGCCGTGTGTGCCTTGTTGAGGAAGATGCGTGAGCGGCACCTTGCAAAAACAAAAGGCAGAGCTGCGTTGAACTAAATGCTTTCCAAACCAACGCGGTGTTAACTAACGCTGCCTTTCCCAGCTGTGGAGTGAGGGCAATGCGACAGATATTCCGGGTAGATAGCGATTACAGTAGGCGACAAACCACGACTGAAGACGGACACTGAGGCGTCTTTCAGCGCGGGGCGGGTGAGGGAAAGGCCCGCGCCCCCCTCATGGCGCCCCAGGGCCCCGCCCCGCGCCGCCGGCGGGAAGGCGGCTGGGCCGTGCCCTCAGGAGGAGCGAGGCGGGCGGCCGTGGCAGGCTCGGAGCCTCCGCCCCGGGTACTGCACCCTCCTTCTCCCCGGGAGCTGCCCGGGCATGAGCTGGGAATTTAATTACTGTTCTAATTTTGATGGGGAATTACGGTGCTTTGCGGGGGGAGGGAGATTCAGCGTTTCCTCGCCCTTTGGGAACAGAAATGTACATCTCATGAGGAGGCAGCTGGCAAAGAAAAGCCCAATAAATCTGTGTGTTGTTGACGATTAATCAGTTATTTTCCTCTGAGGCAACAGATGTAAGGTCGAGCCGTGAGGTTCCTTGGGGCAGGTCGGATCGGCCCCGGCCCGGGGAGCCGAGCTCTGCTGCCATTTTCTGCCAGCCCAAGGCCAGGGAGAATTACGGAGTCCCTGTCACACCCGCAGGCTGGAAGGACAGCGCGGTATCCAGGTCTTGCTCACCTGCCCTTGGGCACTTGAGATGGCACAAGATTGTTGGTGGTTTTTCATAGATTTGATCTGTTGTCTCAGACTTTCACCCTTTTATCTGCTTCACTGCAGGCAGTGGTGACTGGAATCCTTCAGGTGTGCCAACACACACCAGCAGCAGGACAACACTAAGCAGGAGGATTTTTTTCGTACCTAAAGCCTTTAATAGTGTGAGGTATAATTTCTCCATTTTCCCTAATAGCCTGCAGGAAGGCGCAGGTCTGGGTCTGCCTCGTTTTTCTGCTGTGCGATGCCAAATGCCTAAGGATGGGGAGTAAGAGAGCAATCCCATAACCTGCTCAGTGGTGACTGAGGGGCAGAATTATATGCATTTTGTTAGGATGTTTCTAATGAAGAAGGAGATTGTAATATAGTTTTAATGCCTCTTGCACTACTTGTTTTTCTTCCTTCAGTATTTGAAGCTAGAGCATTTTTCAAATCTCCCAAAGTATTTTTTAATTAATGTTTTGCTGTAATTATGCGAGGGCGTGATTTGTCACTCCATAATTGTCAGAGTTCTGAAATAGAAATTAAATATACCATCAGAAAGAACTGATTTTATAAGAATGTTTCCATTAAATGCTAACAGAATAAGATAATTCTGAAATTCTGATATCCTGTTCCTTTCTTACCCAGCCTCTATATACACGAGATTCTTGCAAGCAAATTAGTATCCATTTACAAGCTGAAAAAAAGGCCTTTTGCAGATATTTAGCCTAAACTATCCCAACCTCTGTTAGACATAGCCCATCTTATAGTTTGTGGATTTTGTTAACAAATGAGCAAATAAATATATGCATACATTTTGATGTGGTGGTTTACAAGACTTGTGATATCCAGAGCTAGAACACCAAGTGCAAGCTCACAATTTAAACAGAAGCAATTTAACCCATTTACAAAGCCACAAAAATGATAGAGTAGTTTGGTTATAAGATAATGTTTCTAAGGAACTATTTGTATTCACTATTCTTGCATTCATAAAATTTAAGGAGGTCACACTTTGCTCATTTAACCATGGTGTCACTAAGTGCCTATTCCAGTTCTAGGCCTTGCTTATAGCAAGTCACATAGAGAGGGCAGTGAAGCTGTGCTGGAGTACATGGCAAGTTAACCATGAAAAAACATGAAGTGAGCTCTCTGTATATAGGTTTTCACAATAAAAGTTCCAGGTTTTTATTTACCCTTCTTTTGTTCTCTCCATGCAAACATACTCCTTACAGCCATTACCTGCACGTGTTCAGCATTTATTGGTCATTTTGAACCTCAGCAAGAACTTCAAAACAAATACAGCTTTAAAAATCTGCTCTCAAGATACATCACTAAGATGTTGTAGCCTTCTCAGCACTGTTTTGTGGGTTTTCTGTCACATAAAGATGAAGAGGCTGAGCTGTTGCATTGCCTTTCCATTGCCCATTCTGTCTGCAACTATGCTGACTTTTGTTATAAAAACACAGACTGCCTTTAGCATTCTTACCGGAATAAATTCCACTAGTGCTAATTCATTTTAAATGCTCCCACCTCCAAAACTTGTCTCTGACCCAAGATTCTCACAAGGGAATGAGATCTCTTTTCCTAATACCTATGAAGCCCTTTCTAGCCAAACTGGTTTGTCTGAATGTAAATCCATAGATTTTCTCCTTTTGGCCTGGTAGGTCAGATAATGAAGAGTTGGAAGCAGAATCCAAATTTAAATCCATATATGATTTCTGTAGTTCAAGGACTTCTTAAAAGTCCTTTTACAGACATTTACTCGTTTATTGCCTCCTCATGACTCTCTTTGTTTGCATTTCCCATTAGTGATCAATACATTATTGTGTGCTCTTTCATGATGAAGGCCATGCAGGATCAAGTAGTCCAAGAAGAACCAGGATACCAGGATGATGAGGTAAATTTGTTATTGATTGAAGTCTATACGCAGCAAATGTTCAAAGGTATTTTGATAGTCTTAAGAAACCCGTGGAGGGACAGGAGGTCCCCAAAAACCATCAGGGAGTTCAATGCATTTAAAATTTTGATCCAGTCTACTACCAAGAAAATCTCATTCCCCATGTCCCTGTACAGCCTGACTCTTCAAGTAATCTTCATTAACCTTTCAAAAGCTGTGCACAGTTTTTAATGGGATTATCATTATTTCATCATATTTTACACTTCTATATTAAATCCAAGGGGACTATCAGTTAATTTTCTGCTTCTGAAGAATGATCATCAGCACGAAAAGTGTGAGAAATTATGGTAGAAAAGCTGCAATTATGATGGTGCTAACACAAGTTTTATTAGCACAGCAGAGGATTAATTGCCTGTGAAGATACACTTTATGGAGAAAATGATAGGAAACATGTTGACCTTTTTGGCTCACTATGGCTTTGCTTATTTCAGTTGTCCAACAAGTTATATATTATTTGTGAAAAATCAATAAATATTTACAAATCTAAAACAGTCATGTATTGAGATAGATGTAATAACAAGAAAAAGCAACATCAATTTTTTTTTTCTGCTATTTTGTTTAGGAGTCCTTTTTTCAGGATATTGACCTGCTGCAGAAGCATGGAATTGTAAGTATTAGCAATCCCTTGATGACACAGAATTGTCCCTCAAAAGCTACTGTAAGATTATTTCCAAAATTGTATACACATTTATGCAAATAACTGAAATTCCTCCTTGCAGTAAGTTCTAACTCAGTCAGTGGAGACAAATTTTGCCTTTGGTGATAAGACAGATTTTTAGAAAATCTCATTCACATCAGATTCCTAAATAAAGTGTCAAGATACTCAAAGTATTTAGCACCTAGCACTCTTGAAAAACCAACTGCTTGCTAATTTATTTGAACACTGTGTGATAGATTATTTCCTGTTCCTGCCAATCTTTGTAATTACTCCTGCATTGTTGGTGCCTGTGAAATTACACTGTGACAATTGTTACTATACTATTTTCAGCATGCTAGCACAGGGGGTAGAGTAGGAGTGTGGAAAATATTAGTAGCTAGAGAAATAAGTGGTTAGTTTTCTTCATCAAATGTGAATTTCTATCATTGCTACCATCATCACATAAACATTGACTGTTTATTTTAATTGCAATTATTATATGTTTATCTAGGAGACTGGCTCATGGATTGTAATCCTGTTATAATCAGAGTTATAGAAGCAGAATAAAAAGTTGGATTTGTGTGAAGTAATGTGAGATTTAATAAAAGTGACTACAGACAGATAAAGATGGGAAGGATGTATCACAGTGACTCATCATTAGTCAGCACTGCAGTTACCGTGCTGACCATGTCAGCAGTGCAATTGTTGGCAATTTTTTTTTTTATTGGCAGTTCACTGGCGGTTTTAAAGATAGTTCTGAAGAAGGATCACATGGTTGGGAGCTCAAACTATGGGTCAACATAGGAAAAATAAACAAATTATTGCTTAAAAAATGTAGCAAGGTGATCAAAGAGTGTGACCTGAGCTGGAAGGGAGCTGTACTACCCTATCAGTATGAAACAAGGCATGCCATTCACAGAAGGATACAAATGTATGAAAGTTTGAAAACTAGGAATAACGACTTAGGCTGTTCTTCTGGGGTTGTAAAGGTTTTCTGCTCCTTTCCATCAATTTTTTTCTTTCTTGCAAGTTGTTATTCCCTCACCTCAGAGGAAGTTTTTTGTCTCAGTTGTGCCAGCTAAAAGCTTTGTGCAAACAGGATGACTGCTATATGTTAAATTCATTTACCTGGAGAAACAATTTTTGTGGGTTTAGAGTTTTTTTTCAAGGAGTAGAGAGAAAAATATTTACTGGATATGCCAGTGTGCCCAGAAAGAGAATCAGAATTAGAACAACTGAGACTGTGATTTGGTGATCCAAAGTGTTTGGTAGGATTTAAGGTGCTGTTACCCCTCAGCCTCTGCTGAGTGTCACACACGTATCACAGGATGAGAAATAAGCTTTGAAATAAACATGACTAATTTCTCACACAACCCCCCCTCCCTTCTTATGCTCAATGTACCCACACACTCTAAATAAATAGATTATATGTCCAGTTCATAGGTTTTTTTCAAAGAAAAATCTTGGCCAGAAATGGCAAATTGATGTATTATCCCACACCTTTCACATAGTATGTTTTCTTGTGAGTAATCTGTTCTTGCTTTTACATTTCCAGTGATGTCAGAGGCATAAAATGAGGTGAGGGAAGGTAAAATATATCAGTAGGGTGCTGTCTGAAGTTGTGCTGCTCCCAATTTATGAAAAAGGAGTAGCTTACTCCAGCCCAAAGTGTCCCTCAGATCTGCAGGACACATGTGTTTTAAACTGGACATGCTGAAACAGCACAGCAGTTAGACTCAGTTTCCAGTGATCCTTGTGAATCAGCTCCCAACTCTCCAGATTATCTGGTTTACAGATTATCTGTGCTGAGGGACCAAGGACAGACTGAGTGTTATAGGGTGTCCAAGGTCCACACTATCTGAAATAATTCTGTACTGTTTCTTTACTATCAGCATTGATCTAGAAAAACTGACACTGAATGGGGAGAAGTAAATACCCAGATATCTTTCTCTCAAAACCACCAGAAGCTGCTCTCTGCACCATGATCCCTCATACCAATGTTACTCAAAATTTAGTTTCGTTGGTGTCACAAACTACACAATGAAGAGTTTACTGTAAATCTGTTTCTTTCCTGGTGAAAACACAGGCATATGAACATAAACTTAAAATATTTCGCTAAGGTTTATTTCACCTTCTAGTTGTTAACTGTCCTGAGTACTCACAGAAGGGAAATTTCTTTGCAGAATGTAGCAGATATTAAAAAGCTGAAGGCAGTTGGGATTTGCACAATCAAAGGAATCCAGATGACCACAAGAAGGGCACTGTGCAACGTGAAGGGGCTCTCAGAGGCCAAAGTGGACAAGATTAAAGAAGCTGCAAACAAGCTTGTTGTAAGCCAGTCACTTTCCTGAGAGTTTGAAGTTATGCTGGCCTCTCCAAAACGCTATCCAAGATTTCTCTTAGCAGATTTCCCACTGCATCATCAAAATAATTTTGAAAATTATTCTGCCTGTTACTCTAAGGCATAATACTTTATACTCCACAACAACCAGACGAATGCTGTGGTGTTTTTTATACCCAACCCATGGGCATGAGGCTAGGGGGAAAAGAAGATATCTGGATGGGATATTGCACTTTTAACTTCAGGTCAAAGCTAAAATAAACCTCTCATGTTCTCTTTGGTCTTCCCTAGGAACCAGGCTTCCTCACTGCCTTTGAGTACAGTGAAAAACGGAAGATGGTATTTCATATTTCCACTGGCAGCCAAGAATTTGAGTAAGCTTATGTTTTATATCCTTCCTTCATCCAAATGTTCCCAATAATCATCTTAATTGTCTTTAATGAGATACAGAAATATAAGGGAATAAATACTCAGCTAGGATGCATAGATTCCCCTTGCATTTGGAGTTAGTGCTGCCTTAAAGAAGTCTACATCAATAAGCACCAAAACCAACTCCTTTTCTGAGAGGAAACTGGACTTTGTACAGTCATTGTAAATAAATATTTGGCATCTAGAAATCTTGACTGTATAATTTTTTTGCCTATCAAAATAATCTGCAGGTTTCAGGTCAAAATTACAAGTCTTCAAGTCCTCCCTTGAGATATTTTCATGGAATGTTATTTTCAAATAATATTTTCAATATTATTTTCTCTTTTTTCTTTCCAGTAATAGTTTGTATAGATCTTTCCTTGCACACAAAAAGGGAGGTAAAGACAGAGTTAATTCTTTATGAATCAATGATCATTTAGTACCCTGCACTTAATGCATCAAGTGAGGGGCTTTGCGGCAGAAATTACTTTCCTTAAAGTAGTAAAAATGTCCCTGTTTTATTTTCCTCTTGTGATTTTTTTGATCATAATCTCTCCCTTTCTGTAGTAAGCTTCTGGGTGGTGGAATTGAAAGCATGGCAATCACTGAGGCCTTTGGAGGTGAGAGAACCACATTAAATGAGTATTACCAAACAAAGAATTGCAACTTAATTTAGATTTTAATTCAACTTGGATTATTTCTATCAAGTTTACCACATTGTAGTTATAAAGATGAGTATCTGCATGTGTGCAAGAAGAAATAATCCACTTCTCTTTATATTTTCCCATTTTCCCTCTTCATTTGCTTGCAAACTAAGTTTCAGCTGAGTAATCATTACTGGGCATGCTGATTCAGCACAACATAGCATTACTAAGACTATTATTAACATGCCAGAGTTCTCCCTGATGCAGTGTAACAAAATTGCCACAAAAGGTATTTTATTTATGCACACTTAAGGTACACTGCACTTTATATAGATTTTGAAATTACAATTAAGCTACTGTAACAGTACACCTAATTAGTTGGTGCTTGACACTTCAGCAACAAGAGTTCATAAAACAAAGTACTCTTCCCTTTAGAAGACATAAACTGGGGGCTAATGTGTTTTGGTAGAATGAGATTAACAAACTTTTAAGCTTCTCCTTGATCATTTTACTGGAAATGAAACTGGGTTAGGTTAATGGAATCAACCATTTCTTTCCCACCCCGCCCCCCCCATTATCACTTTTCCACAGGTGCCATATGGTTTTAACTTCCACACACAAGAAAATGACTTCAGCAGTCAAGCACGATCAAATTAAAGCATTTCAGATTTTGCTTTTCATGTAACACATTTCTCCTGCACAGAATATGATTTAGAAATTGAGGTTAAATGATTTTAAAAGGTAGGGATTGAGGTGAATTTTGTAAGAGTTTCTAACTGCAGTAATTCCTGAATCTGTCAAACTTGGAAAAATAAACCCTGACTCTTTTTTTCCCTTCTCTTTATTTAACAGAGTTCCGGACAGGCAAAACCCAGCTATCTCACACTCTTTGTGGTAGGTATAACACCTTAAAATAGAATATTGTTTCTTCTCAGTGAATCCATTCTTTACCACTGTATCAGAATTAAACACATAGAGAAAAGTCAGAATCTTTTATTTTTACAAATACAGTTAAACAGACCTTGGTGACTCTTACCTCCATAAACCGTGTTTGAGTAGAGAATTCATACAAATTGTTACTTTTTAATATTATTCACATCCATGAAAGTTTTGCCATAAGGAGAGGGAAGTTAATAGGCTGTCTTAGATAAACCAATGAAACGCACCATCTGGAAAAGCAGAGCACAAATATGTGTCACATGTAGATGGGGCATTGCTCAGAAAAGGGCAGAGGCAAAATACTTTTCTCAGCAATTCTTTGACTGTCCTGGTTTCAAGAGGTTTTGCTGAATATGACATTCTGAAAGGGCACTGAAAGGGTACTACTGGCTGTCAGCGACTGGATAAACAGACTTTGGCAGTCACCATATTTGGGCAGTGCCAAAAACAGCAGGACGCTGATTTCCCAGAGATATCTCTCAACGTGTAAAGAGAAGTAAACAATAACTTATATAACTGTTCATGCTGCTGGAATTACCAGACACTGGGTAGGCAATTTCTATTAAATTAACCCCCTATATTCTAAAGTGAAATATGGCATGTTCTGGAAAAACAAGGCCTCTTCTGGTTAGTACAGTGTAAAGGTCAGCAGAGTCATACCCTTTTGCATGAATGATTACAACTGGATTGAGTATTTTAGTTACTCACTCCAATCCACAATCAGCAACTATTTGCATGTCAGGAAAAACTCATATCCAAGGAATTTTTGATCATAGAAGCTACAGCTGGAAAAAGTGCCTACTAAGTCAATAGAATTAATTTGGGCAGAGGATTAAGAGGAGACTTTGTGTGTAAGAACTCACTAATAATATCCCTAAAATACACAGATTTAGTGATGGTACTGAGTAAAACAGTTTTGACACCATTAATTAAATCTCATCTGATCTGCATTTGAGAAAAGTGGGTTGAGCTTATTGTCAAGATGGCAGACAAGATACTCCTGATTTTCACATTGATTAAAACTGACAGTTCTTTGTGATATGGATAAACAGTTGTATTTTATTTAAAAAATAATTATAGATGGAGTAAGAAAATATTTTCCTGCTTTTTCATTTTAATCTTGTATGCTTCTCTGTAGTGACAGCTCAGCTCCCAGGACCAAGTGGCTACACAGGTGGAAAGACTATCTTCATTGATACTGAAAACACTTTGTATCTTTTTGACTGTTAAAAGCTACAGGTGTGATGAACTGGAAAGATAATGCATTTTAGTTAGTCATAAGGAAGCTTCATACATGTAAAACATGAGTGGCACAGAAATCGTGGAGAGCACAGTGTGTAGTGGCCCACAAGGAAGTGAGTTTTTCTTTTGTCATTTGATGTAATCCAACCTGGAAAAATTAGTTAGGAATTGGATTTTATTTTAACTGGGCTTTTTTTTGTTTGTTTGTTTTTGGGGGTTTTGTGTTTTTGCGATCTAGTAGGCCTCCTACAGGTTATAGCAGCTTTTCTCTTCAAGATAAATTTATCTAAGTACTAAACACTATTTTTAACACTTCACATTTGCAGTAGACTGTGTATAAACAGGTTTTGCTAAAATCCTGGAGCACAGATATCCATATGTCAACCCCCCCGCCTCAAACCCTAAACACAAAACAATTACCATCGTGAGCCCTAAACTATCTTTAGGGTACGTGGGACAGCCTGAAGACAAAAAGTCAGTCTTCTCTAGGACTAAAATAAATATTCTTCTTTTTTTTCCCCCCCTAGTCCTATTTTGGAATGGAGTTTATTATTTTCAGAGCATGGTTTGCACTAGGAGAAACCCTTAACCCCTGACTCATGCCAGCCGACCAGACCGCCTGCGTGACATTGCGGATCGCTTCAATGTGGACCACGAGGCAGTGCTTGACAACGTGCTGTATGCACGTGCATATACCAGTAAGACCATTATTGCAATTGGCATGATAGCTAGGGTTTTTTCCTCTCAGGTTTTTTCTCTCTCTCTTTCCATTTTAATAGTTCTCAGTTTATTAACACTTCTCAGTTTATTAACAGCTCAACACACTCTCTATCACAAGACACCGCTTTAAAACTTCAAGAAATTTTGAAATAAGACTTCTTTAAGAATGCAATATAAACATAAATGATTAAAACATTTTCTGTGTGTCATTTAATTCAAATTAAATTAAAATGTATATATTAATTTTCAGTTCTTAACAAAAAGTTGTCTTCATGCAGAGTGAAGATTTTCACAAAGAAGTTTAGTGAGATGGGTGAGAAAAAACTGGAACCTGCAAAGTAGATTGTTACTGGGCACTGGATTTAAAACTGCTGGCAATGAACAAATAACCAGTGCAGACATTTAAAGTGGAATTTTGAAGTTCAGGCTTCTGTTCTTTCAGAATTCTTCCTGATCCTAATTTCTCTTGGTAACTGCTTCCCACTAGGTGAGCATCAGATGGAATTGCTTGACTATGTAGCAGCCAAGTTCCATGAGGAAGCTGGTATCTTCAAGTTATTGGTACAAGACTTCTGTATGCTTACTGTTCTCAGAATAAGTGTTCCTGTTTTCTTTCACTATATTTACTTACCCAGCATGATTACAATGCAGATCATTGACTCCATAATGGCACTTTTCCGTGTGGATTTCAGTGGTCGCGGAGAGTTGGCCGAACGACAACAGAAACTGGCTCAGATGTTGTCAAGGCTCCAAAAAATATCAGAAGGTATGGGAAACATGGCAAGATTTGGAAAACATGGACTGGAGTCACTATCAGTAGCTGTTGGTAGCACAACCATTTAGTAGTCCAGGTGTATTATCAATCAGGCTCTAGCCCAGGGATCTTTCCTCACTTTACACCTCTGTCAGTTACCAAAAAGAGCAAACTGATAATATATTATTTCAAGATGACAGATTGAGAAAACTTATGGACTTTCCAACATTAAGAGTTTTTCTAGAAATACTGTCAGGCCCTAAATGAGATAATAAGTTGCAGAACTGGACAAATAGTAATTGTCTTCCCCAAATTTCAACAAAAGAAAGGCAGAGAAAAGAGGATGAAGGCATAGAGAAGTAAAAAGCCATGCCTCTTGCCACTGTCTCAGTACTTTGGAATGCTTTGAGGGATGATGACAGGATAAATAGAGTTCTTTCTCTTTGTAATGTCTCAGAAATGTTGATGAGGAATGAATAAATGCTTTTTTCCTGAAGTGAAAAAAAAAAAAGCAAACAGAGAAAGGGAAGGAGAGGGAGCTTAGGGCAGGGAGCCAACAGAGAATAGATAGGAACTGAGAAAGACTTGTTCACTGCAATTGTGAAAAGGACTAATTTTTGGTGTATTACAGCTGAAGCCACGCAAGAGCAAATCTAGGCTGTATCCTGATTAACTGCAGCCATCAGTCATAAAGAATATTTTCTTCTCATTCATTTGAAATTTGAAATGCTTCAGCAGAAAACTTGCTTTTACCATGGATGAGAGAATATTTTAGAATTCTAATTGGAAGAAGTCTACCTTCTTTGCAATGTCTTCTCTTGCAGAATATAATGTGGCTGTGTTTGTGACCAACCAGATGACTGCTGACCCAGGAGCAACTATGACGTAAGATACTTTTTCTCTCTCTTTTAAAAAAATTCCTGTATTTTGTATTATGTATTTAACAGAAATGAGAACTGAGATAGTAAGGTGCAAGAGGCACTGAAATGAAAGATCAGATTGGTCATTGATCCCTGTGATATTAGGAATTCCTACATAAATGACCTCTGGAAGTTTCTCTGGTTTTGGAAGGAGCTTTTTTATGTTTATCTGCTGCCTGCTGTGATGGTGTGATTTCACTGTGACTTAAACAAAGAAAATGAGCTATAAAAAATATTGAAAAAACACCACATTTTCCTCTGGAGTACCTTATATGTGATATTTAAGGTGTGTATTTCTTGAGCCTCTTGAATTTAATGGCAGGAAAATGATGCCAGCATTGAACATTTGAGACAAGTGTGCAAAAGTCGGGTTTCTAATGTATTTCCCTATTGATTATTCGTTACTGAGTTGAATAGGGCTCAGTCTGACAGTTAATCACAGTATTAACCTCTGGAATTTGCCCAGTGAATCACCACAATTTTCTTGCTAATTCAGCTTTCAGGCAGACCCAAAAAAGCCCATCGGGGGCCACATCCTTGCTCATGCTTCAACTACCAGGATCAGTTTGAGGAAAGGGAGAGGGGAGCTACGTATTGCAAAGATCTACGACAGGTAAACAGGAGGGAAGGTGACAAATTTCAAGGTATTGAAACTTTCTGGATGGTACACTGGGAGAAAATCTGAAAGGACAAACTAATTAACAGATTAAACAACTAACTAAAGTTGTCTTGCACATTGCATATATTAAATAACATCATCTTTCATCATAAATCCTACTAGATGCTCAGCTCTTAATGAAGATCATCAAATACTTTGGTAGGACTGGTGGTCCTTTGGCAGGAAAATTCTGGACATGTTAAATTCCTAAGTTTTCCTGACACAATAATTTCACATTTTCTGATCCTGATCATATCAATCATGTTCTACAGTGTACACATAGGTATAAAGGCACTGAGGAATTCCAGGTTGCTCACACCCACAACATTTTGGAGACTGTTTCACAACTGCATTTTACATGGAGAAACTCACAAGTTTCTTGTTTCTTTTTCTCCCAGCCCTGAGATGCCTGAAAATGAAGCCACATTTGCAATAACTGCTGGAGGGATTGGGGATGCCAAAGAATAGGTAAAAAAATGATGTAAATGTACAGCTAAAAACCAGCTGGGCAGTTGGGATGAAGATTTGTGAAAGGTTGACAACTACCTGGCTGCATTTGTAGCTTGTGGGAGATATTTAAGATATTTTGGGAGAAAATAGGATGGACTTTGTACAGTTCAGTTTTACTGAACTAAAATTTTGGTCATTTAGGATTTTTGTTTTTCAATGGAACTTTTAGCACACAAAGATTTAAGCCATTAGATTGTGAATTGTTCTTAGAATCTTTTTCCTATCTTTTGTAAAAATCAAACCTGTCCTTTCACATGGGAGTGAATATACTCTTTCTTAATTTATTTCAAAGAGAGTGTCTAAGTGGTAGAATTTAACAGTGTGAAATGCAACAGAACTCGAATAAACTCAGTTATAAAATTGACATATATAGATGGAAAAGGCAGTGGGAGGAACAACAGCTCAAGAACTTGATGGATTTTCATGTACTGTAGAGGAACAAGTAGTTTTAAGAATACGTTTTTAAACATTTTTATCTTGACTAGATAATGTTCATGTTTTTATTTAGCATTTTCTACTTTTTGGACAGAAAACCTGTTCTTATTAAAGTTAAAAATAAAGACTGTGAATTAGAACATAAGTCTGACTATGTTTGGGTGCTTTGAATAAAACTCCCCTCTCAAAAATCTCATTGATCTTTCATGAGAAAAATAATCTGGGTGCAACCCAATACCTTAAAACCTTTTTTCTAGTTCTCTAAAGAAACAAACTTGATATAATTGACTTGTCATTCTTCTAGTATAAGTAAGACTATTAAATATTACTTTAAGTAATATTAAATATTGTTACTATAAAAAAGAATAAAACAAATCCTGTGGCTAGATAGGAGGGGGTGGGACCAGCACTTATACCAAGGAAAAGGCACTTAGGATTCAGCTTGCTGAGGGAGCAGCCAGCACAGGCACAGCTCTGAACTAGCAGGAGGTGTAGGTCACAGAGGGCAAAAGAAGAAGCTGGGAATAAAGAGAGAAACAGGCATTGGGGCCAAAATAACAGTTCCTTTTACAATACATCCAATGCTCATGGAATTGCTTGTTTTAAATAAATTAAACAATACATACATACACACACACATGGATATAAGGGGGAAGTCTTACTTGGTCCTCTGGTAATTACAATGAGTCTAATTTTGGTATCTGGTCGAAGTACTCGTCCTCACTGGAAAAATAATTTTTTTGTTTAGGTTACCAAATGCATGTAAGATAACATCAAATAAAAAGGCAGCAATGACCAGAAATTCATGGAAGAGAAGCTTGACATTTTAGCCAGGCTTTTCCTTGTGACAGATCTAGAGGGCTTGCCTTCTTTAAGTGGTTTCTTAACAGATAGTTGATATTTTTCCTGAAGGAAAGCACTATTTTTCACAGTGCAGAAAAGACTAGAGAGCTGAAGGCTGGGAAGCCGGTTCACCTGAGAGAGCCAGGAATGGATCAGCCGTTGTCATTTAATGCAATGTCCAGTCCTTTGCACGTGCCAGGCTTTCCCACACTAGGCATTTGTATCCAGTGGCCAAGTACCCAGTGCCAGCGAGAGTGTGCAGTGTCACTTGACTCCCTGCCACCCACTTGAAAGACCCAGTTTTCTTACAGAAACATTCTTCCATTTTATTTTAAGCACTCGGATTGCTTTTTGTTTTCTCACACATGTGATACATACATACATATATATATATGTGTGTGTGTATATATATATAGCATGTGAAGCTAAAATGGTAATTTGCATGTTGTTCTAGGCTGTTATTTTTATCCAAGGGTCTGAAAGTAAAGGCGACTCGCTTTCCTTTCTGCCAGTAAAACCAGTGTTTGATAACCTGACAGCCCAGAAATTACTGCTGATAGCGATAACACGGTGTGGGCCAGGGCTGTGTTTGGCTGGTCTAACCCCACCATCCACGGGACACTGCTCCTTGTGCCAGGACACACTGACCGGGCGATAGCACATACACGGCACAAAAGGATTTATGGTCTGTGCCACGTAATCGCTTCGTGGATGATTCTGCCTTTCAGCGAGGAGTCGCTGGCTCGTGGGGAGTTCTCTCCCGGCCTGCTGGCGCTCAGGCGACAGCAAACATCATGGCCGCTGTCACTCTGCTCCTGCCCCCGCTAATCTGACAGGGAATAACCTCGGCCCGCCGGAGCCGCCACAGAGGTCCAAAGGGCCGCTCCTGCCCCGTGGCCCAGCGTCCCGTTATTGTTCCGCCATTGTCCCATCACCGTGTCCTCAGCCGCGCCGCCACCTCGGCGGAGCCCATGGGCGAGTAGGAGACGGGCCGTATTCTTCAAACCGTCTGCGAATCCAGCGTAACCCTCCCGCCCGGTCTGCATAGTCCGCGTAAGAATGTTACGCCGTGCACACCGGGCTCTACGCCAGCCTGAGTTACGCACCTTGCGTACGCCGTGCGCTTACGTAACGTGCGCCTCGGCCCAGGTATTCCCTGCCCTGCAGAAGGGGTTACGAGAGCGCTCCTTGTGCAGCTGACTTTGGGGAATAGCGTTACTCCTCCCCTTCGCCTTCCTCACACAGGGCCCCGGCTCTGAGTAAAGAACGTTACGCACTTTTCGTAGCCCACCTGCTACTGCACGGGGCGGTGTTTCGCCGAGCGCGCTTAGTGCGTAGTTGAGCTCCGTGAATAGGCGTAGGTGTTTCGGAGGGCCGCAGTTTGCGCAGCGCCGGGCTGCCCGTAACGTAAGCGGAGCGGGCCGGGGCGGCGGCGGCCATTTTGTGCCGGGAGCGCGGAGGAAGAAGACGCTGGTGTCTCCACACTGCCCGGGCCCTGGAGCCGACCGAGAGCCCCGCCGTTCCGGCCGCTGACGCCCAGCGGGTCTCGGACCCACTGACCACCTCTTCTCCTTTTGTGTCCCAGCAAAGAGGCGAGGTGGCGCAAAGCGAGGCCTCCGAGGCGCAGCCGCCCCTGGCTGGACCCTCTCCCCGTACCCCCAGCCCCTCGCCGTCCCCACGGCCGGCGTTCCGCTGCCTCTCACCCACCCCTCCGGGGGCGATGAGAGGCTTCGGGGACCGGGGCCGCGACCGAGACCGCGGCGGGTAAGGGGGAGGGGGGGTCGGCGAGGCGGGGGGGCGGCGGGGAAGCCGAACGCTTGCGTTGGGGGGCGGGGGAAGGCCGCGGGCTTGGGGGGCGTGTGTTGGAGTGGCGGTATTGGGGGAGCCATCATTCCATCTGTGGAGATTTCCCCCCATAGATTCTCGTGTGGGGGCGGGGGTAGTTGGAGGCTTATCGGTTCCCAAGGCGGGGTGGCGGGTTTTGGGTGTTTTGTGGGGTTTTAAATTTTTTTTTAATTTAGCTTTTGCGCCGTTCATGTGTAACTAATTCTGAGCCTTGCCTGAAATTTTAAGGCCTGCATCCACCCTGCCCCCTTAATTTTTTTTCTACCAGCCTCTTTATTTACCCCGCGAGACCCGTGGCACCCTCCCCCCTGCCAGTCACGGAGGTCTCGGTGGCCCTGGCAGGGCTCGTTGTCCTTCTGTCTGCCCTTCTGGTTGTCATTGCTCCTTCTGGACTTACTGGAAAGATGGCAGTGGGGGGAAGATCTCTCTCAGCTGCGCTCCCAGGCTTGCCGTGATAGGAAATGGGATTGGAAACGCTGCCTTGCGGGGGACTTGGGCACTCGGGAGGGTGATCAGTGAACCGTGGTGCTGGACCACACTTGCCAAGCTTGCGTAGTGCTACAGAAATTGTTTGTCTGGTTCTGTAAAGGCCTAGTGCTTGATACTCTTGAATCTGTTATTTAAAGGAGGTTTGGCTTGCAAAAGGCTTTTGCAGGTTTGATTTGATGTGATTTTTTTCTTTCGACAATGACAGCAGTAAATACAGTGGCGGTATACTGCGTGACTAGATTGAGTCTCGAGGTTTTTAAGCGTTGAAAGTAATAATGCTTTTGTGCCAGGCCTTTTTAAAGAGAAAGTTAAAACTAATTTCTGAGAGTGATTAGCAAAAAACATAGTGTGATTTCTGCTATATGGTAGGCTAGATCTCAATTAATGAGTCTTCTCTCCATTTTTTCTCCTTTTTTTTTCTCCCCCACTTCATTTTCCTCTTGTTTTCCCTTGCCACTGGGAGATTAAAGAATATTTTGTTATACATTGCCATGCACTTTGACATTCAGTTTCTTGTCTGTGGAGGGAGATAGTTGTGTCATTGCTTTATCTTACACCCACATTTAACATTCTGAAATTAAAAGATACTTTCATTTTTTTTTTCACAGAGAGGAGGGTTCTGGTGTTTTTCTGCTAAGAGATTTCCAGCTCAGTTTAACACAAGGACATTGGAGTAAGCGCTTTGGCAAGTCTGAGATAAATCAGACCACAGCTGGTTTTGGAGTTTAGTGAGTGAGTTTGAGTATGCAGATTTATGTACAGTTACTTAAAAGAGCACCGGCCAAAGCGTTGCCACAACACTTGATGTGCCTTAAAATTAGTGTTATTTCATTTTCTGTAAAGTCTTTAATTATAGTGGATGCTTCTCTTTTAGATCAGGGTTTTGATGAGTAAAAAGAGTGCCCACATGCTTCTTTGTGAAGTTTGTGGACATTTGCATGATTTTTTTTTTTTGCATATTACCCTGGAAGCTTTAGTGCAGTCAGTTTGCTACATACATCCTTTTAAGGTGTGAAAATATTTGTAACCACTAACAACTATCTTACTTCATAAATAACCTGTGTAAAATATTGGGCCACCCAGTGTGCTGCTGGTTCAGCACCTTTTGAAACTTTATCACCACTTCTTTTGTAGTCTAATCACATAAAAGGGTTCTAGTTTTCTTTTTCAGGGACGAGCTGTAGGTGACTTCTTAGAATGGAAAATTGTTATGTTTTGCTCTGGAATGTATCAGATTTACTCAGTTCTGTCCCAGAAGTGATGGCACCAGTAATATTAGGGAAGAATATTTTGAGCCAGCCTGAATTTACCTTTGAAAAGAAGGCTCTTGGCAAACCAGGGAAATAATAGATTGAAGTCAGTTTAATTGGAGTTGGAATCTCATTTTCCTTGGAGTCAGAAAGTGAAGTGTCAGTTACTGCCAGTTTAGCAGCTGAACCCCCACAGAGGCAGCAGCATTCAAGGGCTGCTGTAGGGCTCCTTCCTCTCAGGTCAGTATCCAGGCAGATTGTGTGTAAGAGTGGAGAACTGAAACTATGTGCCTTCTGTGTAGTATATGTCATTTTCTCCCTCTGGATAGCTTGGAGCAGGTATTCATAGTGCCCAGCTGTTGCAGTGTCCAGCCTTTCAGGCAGCCCCTCCTATGTTTCCTTTTCTAGGGGAACTCATCAACCCTTTGAACCTCTGGTGGACTTGAGTGAGGTTATGGGTTTTGTAGGAACTGCTTGGGTACTGTCATTTTAGACATTTTGACCTCAGTTTAGCATGATAGGTTACAAGCATCATCACTAAAGGTGAATGTCCCTGTAGGTGAAAGTCTGTGCCTTTTTTTTTTCCTTTGCCCTGAAAGGAAGCATAATGCTTAAGTGCATTTTTGAAGTTGTGTTTCACAGTCTTTTTCATAAGAGAAAACTTGATGACTCTGCAAGCTCTCTAGAGGATCTGATAGACATACAGATGAGAAAATAAGGGATATTTATAGGAAAAGGAAGAAGCCTAATGCACAGTTGCAACACAGCAAACATTTTAAAACTAACTTAGCAGGTTTTAAATTCAATTATATCTTCTTCCTGTTAAAATGTTGATTTGAGTTCTGTTTCTTTGGTCTCTTAGTCACTATAATTTATAGTTTCCATTGGGAAGTGATTTAAAGAACAAATGTACTTAATGTTTGAGCAGGTAGTGTTGTACTTAAGATAATTCAGAATTTTTTTTCAGCTGTTGTTTATTTTTTGGTAACTTTTCTACTCCTTATTTCCTCCACAGGTTACTCTGTAACAATGTTGCTTAGAGATTTTTGTTGCTTTCAGTTTATTTCATTACCATTTTTTTGTTTACTAGTGGACTACCTGGGTAGGGTGCAGACACTATGGTTTTGCTGTCTAAAAGTTGTTTGAAATGTCTCATGTCTCATGAATTCATGTTTTTGCATAAAGCTGTACCTTTAGGACAAAAATGGACTTGATAGCATTTTGAAAAGTTCTTTCTGCTGAGTTTGTAGGATATTGATGAAAGTGCTGTAACTTTTTTTTGGGGTGTGTTATTTTAAAGTGCAATTCATGGTATTTACAGTAAATAAACATATGGTTTTTAGTTACTCTTACAGCTTACTGCCAGAAGCTCATGTTTTGACTATTTCATTAGCCAGTCATTACAGTTAGTTCTTACCTTCTGAAATGTATATAGAATTAACTGGATAAAGAAAACTTAGAGAGAAAGAGTAATTACTTTTGAATTGTTCTGCTAGAACAGATTTTTTTTTTTTGTGAACATGAGCTTCTTACTCTCTTCAGTCTTCATCACAATGCATTTCAGAGAGGATATGATTTTTCTCAGGTTGTTTTTGCAGTTTTTTTCCTGTTAGGCTGTGTTTTAAAAATAAGGGGTTTTTTTTAAATGTTGATTACAGAATTACAGATGGACTTGCAGGCTTGGCTAGGCTTGTTTACTTTCTATTCTTCAGTCTGCTGTTTTTCATTTGAGGCATGCTTCTTGATAGGAAGGGAAAGAAGATATGGAGGGGGAGATAGTGAAATAGCTGTCTAGTGTAAAACTAACCTTGAGAGACAGAGAAGGAATTTGCAAGGAGAGATTTTTCTCATCCCTTTTATGTAACCGTGTTGGAAGTGCACTGTCAGTTTCAAGACAAATGCTATAGGTGTACAGCAGCCATGTCCTAGAGGCAGGATCTTTAAAGGGGTGATTTACAATAACATGGGTTTATGTTCGGAACAACCCAAAGCAGGTTTGTTATTTCAAGAAGTTTTACACCATCATACTTATTGAAGGGAGGTGACTTGCTAGAGTATTGTGCTCATATGTCAGCTTGGGGAAAACACAAATGGTTACGAAAATTCCAGAATAATTCTAGAATAGTTTTTAAGTACTGGTAGTATTTTTTTTTTAAGTAACTAACATTCACATTCACAGGTTTGGAGCAAGTCGTGGAGGTCCTCTCCCTCCAAAGAAATTTGGTAATCCAGGGGAACGTTTGCGTAAGAAAAAATGGGATTTAAATGAACTGCCCAAGTTTGAGAAGAATTTTTATGTGGAACATCCGGAAGTGGCCAGGCTTACTCCAGTAAGTGCTATGTTGTCTACAGCAGAAAATGTCACAAGCTGAAAAACTTGTCCTAGGAAGTCTGGGACAGCATGTAAAGTAGAGCTGACTCTTCATTAAGCTTGTTTGGCATGTGTACTCTGCTGGATACTGGTTCTAGTTGCCTTTACTATTTAACATTAGCAAAAGATATGCTTCTCTTCTTGGTTCCTTTTATATGAGATAGTTTATGTTTTGTCATTTGTAATGCATCTTTTTTATAATGCTTGTCTGGTCTAGTGATTTGTCAGTGGAGATAAAACTTAGAGAATTACAGTCCTGGAGAAGCCCTGGAAAAATGTAAGATAATGAACTAAAAGTGACAAAAATACA